TATCTTTGTCTTGCAGCCAGGTCGATGTGCAACTTCTCACCTCCTCAGGCCTGGCTCGGGGAAGCTGCCCTTATGGCCACGTCTGTGCTTCTTATGCTCACAGTGGGGCTTCAGCAGATGTGGCGGTACTGAGGAGGAAGCAAGAGGGGCACTCACTGGTGGTGATGGGCACCATTCCAGTGGATCTGCCGGTCCCAGATCTGAGGGACACATTGGCTCATAGCCTCCTCCATCAGAAAAGTGTAGAGGTGAAGTTCTCTAACTTCCCAAGTCTGAGGCAGGACTGAGTGGCAGATGGTACAGCGGGTGATGATGTGGGGCTTCGCCGAGGCGGTAGAGACACTGTTGATGCTCATCATTCACTGAAAAGGAGCCTGGGCACAAAGCACAGCTTTTGAAGCTGGTTTGCCAAGGCATAATCCCTGGAAGGGGTGGGGTGGGTTGTCTCCTCACTGGAGGAAGAAGTCCAACAGGGAGCCTACCTAACTAAGAACGTTACAAGATTATAAGATACAACTATAAAACCTGAACAACTATTTACATGAAAGCAGAAACAGACAAGGGCTGTCTTAGCAGAGCTAAGAGCACTGAGGAAGAGGGGTTCTGACTCTGGCCATATGGCAGTAAGAGGGAACTGGAGCGCCATAAACCTGCAAGGCTTTTTATAGCCTCAGATGCAGACATGCGGATGACACATGATGCACATGCGGGTCAATGGACACTACTAGGAAAAACTTTTTCACTAGGAGGGTGGTGAAGCACTGGAATGCATTACCTAGGGAGGTGGTGGAATCTCCTTCCTTTCAGGTTTTTAAGGTCAGGCTTGACAAAGCCCTGGCGATGATGATTTAGTTGGGGATTGGTCCTGCTTTGAGCAGGGAGTTGGACTAGATGACCTCCTAAGGTCCCTTCCAACCCTAATATTCTATGATACTACAAAACAGTTCCAGTTCTGGCGCATGACACACATGGGCACCCACCTCTGGAATCCATAGAGACCATCACCCATTCCAGTGCTTCACCACCCTCCCAGTGAAAAATTTTTTCCTAACATCTAACCTAAACCACCCCTGCTGCAACTTGAGACCATCACTCCTTCTTCTGTCATCTCCTACCACTGAGAACAGTCTAGATCCATCCTCTTTGGAACCCCCCTTCAGGTAGTTGAAAGCAGCTATCAAATCCCCCTTCATTCTTCTCTTCTGCAGACTAAACAATCCCAGTTCCCTCAGCCTCTACTCATAAGTCATGTGCTCCATCCCCCGAATCATTTTTGTTGCCCTCTGCTGGACTCTTTCCAATATTTCCACATCCTTCTTGTAGTGTGGGGCCCAAAACTGGACACAGTATTCTAGATGAGACCTCATTAATGTTGAATAGAGGGGAACGATCATGTCCCTCGATCTGCTGGCAATGCCCCTACTTATACAGCCCAAAATGCTGTTAGCCTTCTTGGCAACAAGGGCACACTGTTGACTCATATCCAGCTTCTTGTCCACTGTAACTCCTAGGTCCTTTTCTGCAGAACTGTTGCCTAGCCATTCGGTCCCTAGTCTGTAGCAGTGCATGGGATTCTTCCATTCTAAGTGCAGGACTCTGCACTTGTCCTTGTTGAACCTCATCAGATTTCTTTTGGCCCAATCCTCTAACTTGCCTAGGTCCCTCTGTATCCTATCCCCACCCTCCAGCATATCTACCACTCCTCCCAGTTTAGTGTCGTCTGCAAACTTGCGGAGGGTGCAGTCCACGCCATCCTCCAGATCATTAATGAAGAGATTGAACAAAACCAACCCCAGGACTGACCCTTGGGGCACTCCACTTGATACCAGCTGCCAACTAGACATGGAGCCATTGATCACTACCCATTGAGCCAGCTTTCTATGCACCTTATGATCCATTCATCCAGCCCATACTTCTTTAACTTGCTGGCAAGAATACTGAGGGAGACCGTATCAAAAGCTTTGCTAAAGTCAAGGAATAACACATCCACTGCTTTCCCCTCATCCACAGAGCCAGTTATCTCGTCGTAGAAGGCAATTAGGTTAGTCAGGCATGACTTGCCCTTGGTGAATCCATGCTGACTGTTCCTGATCATTTTCCTCTCCTCTAAGTGCTTCAGAATTGATTCCTTGAGGACCTGCTCCATGATTTTTCCAGGGACTGAGATGAGGCTGACTCGCCTGTAGTTCCCTGGATCCTTCTTCCCTTTTTTAAAGGTGGGCACTACATTAGCCTTTTTCCAGTCTTCCGGGACTTCCACCGATCGCCATGAGTTTTCAAAGATAATGACCAATGGCTCTGCAATCACATCCGCCAACTCCTTTAGCACCCTCGGATGCAGCGCATCCGGCCCCATGGACTTGTGCTTGTCCAGCTTTTCTAAATAGTCCTGAACCACTTCTTACTATTGGGTCTTTCCTTCAAAACCAAATAGTGAAAATATTGTTTTCACCTTGATTTTTTTCCCTGAGCCCCTTTCTATAATATTATACCTTCACCCCATCCTGGTTCAACTGAGTATTAATTTGAGGCTATAACAGGTTTCAAGTTTTCCTCTCAAGGATGTATAAGGTCTTTTCCTTCCTCTTTGTAGTTATTTTTATGATGTGGAGGTTTTGCTATCACCATAAATGTTACAGATGATTTATCAGGAATATACTGCATGGTGGCTACATTTAAAAATGGTTTTGTTTTCCGCTTGTCAACTGTTCTTTGCATGATGAGTGGTATATGTCAAAAAGGCAACCTCCCCACCCACTCTCCTGTCTGTCATTCCCAAGATGGCAGTGCTATTTCCAATTCATGTCTTTGCTCCAGCAACTATTAGCCATGCATGAGCATTTAGCTTGTGTGAGGTACCAGAGTTAATATTATGGCATTAAAAGTATTATTGATATGCTTTATGTACAATATATACACATTGCTTGTGTCAGGCTAAGTTGGGTATAGGGTGGTTGGGTATGGGTCAGTCAAGTTGAAGGGCCACATTGCGTAAAAAGAAGAGGGAGAAAGATGCTCAATACAAAGTAATCAGTAGCAGACTGATCAGTGCAGAAAGCACAAAGGAGAGATCACAGTACTAATGGGCCAAAAACTTCATGCTCCTCTTTCATAAAATAGAAAAAACTCTGTATCCTATTTCAGTCAGAATTGGGATTTTCTGGTAATTTTTTCTCACTTGTTTTTCAGTCCCTCTCACTCTTTGTCTTTTTGACTTTTCTGCTGTTTGTGCTTATTTTCCTTTTGCATTTGCTGGATCAGTTCCCAGGTTTGACATAAACTTGGAGAGAACATGAAAATTTAGCGAGTGCTTGGAAAGCCTCCAATGCTTTTATAAATTCTATGAATTAAAATTGATCTGAACTATCAAATAGAGACATTGTTTTGTTTTTTTTCTAATTTTTATTTTAGCACATTGATCTACTCTATTTCACTGACTCCTAGAAATGTAGGGTAGGAAGGGGCCTTGAGAGGTCATCAGATCCAGCCTCCTGTGCTGAGGCTGGACCAAGTCTAGCTAGACCATCCCATACAGGTGTTTCTCTAACCTGCTTTGAGCCTGCTTACCAGTTTGAGTCCTGCAGGTGAGTTAGTAGGAGGAATGCCTATCTTCTCCTTGTTTGTGCATTGCTTTGGGGTTTAGGAATCTGGATGCCAATGGTGAGGCTGCTGTGTGCATATACAGAGGCAGAAACATAAGTACTTAAGGGACTTCTGCAAAAATTAGGACAGAATGAGTTTGGGCTCCTACAGGCTTTGGCAGCATCTGAGCAGAGGCTTTTTGAATCCCCGTGGGACTGATTCTGGGATTCATGTGCCTAAAGTGGCAGTCAGGCATCTAAGTCCTCTTGTGAATTTGGATCCTAATATCTCATCTCTTTTAATAAGGAGGCAGAGATTATGACTGCCTCCACTTTATCTAAAAAATGCACACCAATTCTGTAGTTAAGATGTCATGTCCCTGCAACCTACGACGCTTCCTGCAGCTCCCATTGACCGGGAACGGTGAACTGCGGCCACTGGGAGCTGCGGGTGGCCATGCAAATATAAACAAACTGTCTGGTGGCCCACCACCAGATTACCCTGTTGGGCCACAGGTTGCCCACCACTGATCTAGGGAATATCGCCAACCTGCATTTCTTTTTGTCACTAGGGAGATGGTACTGCATTTATTCATTACTTTTACTTTTCATATTTTTGTTTGATTTATAAATCAATAGTAGCTAGATAAGACCAATACAGTCATACATAAACCTCAAATAGTGCAGCTGTAATGGGTGTGTATGTTGTGGGGAAAATTGTTTTAGTTATATACCTATCTCAAAACTGTCATACTGCTAACATGTAAAGAATCAAATTAGCTTTAACACTATGCTGTGCATTTATAAAATGTTATCTGAGTCAGGTCTAAGATATTTAATAGCCCTCATAAGCCTCTTTCTTTCTGGACACAGTCTGATATCTGCTGAATCAAAAATATAAAGAGAAGTAAACGATTATAGGAGCAGAGGATAGAAGAATGGCAACCTGTGGCTTGGGCTGGAGACTGAAAAAGCTGTTTAACCTGTTGATCATTACAACAGGTTTACAAGTGTAACAACAGACTTAGCTATCATATTGGAACAACAGAGGTGCACCATTGTATAATATTAATTTGCTTTAATTGCTTGTGAAGTACTTATTGATGCAATGTTTAAAAACATCTTATAAAGAAATTATGGCATGTTTAAAATTAATTCACAGCATAGAAGGGAAAATAACATAATATAGATTGATACATAGTCTATATGAAGTTCTCTCCTTAATAGCAGTAGTTGCCAGATATTAAATTTCATTCACGCAACATAAGCCCACTAAAAATCTCACATTTTTGTGAAAAAATTAACTTCATTCTCATGTAAAAACTGGTTTGAAATAAAGTTAAAATGATTTGTTCTTACAAAAAAGTCCTTGTCATGACAGAATAGCTATCTGAAAAAAGTAATATACAATGTGAGATATTAATTTTAATTTTAAGTTTTAATATATTTCAAAATGGAAGATTCTGCACTTACATAGTTATATATCATTGATACTGCAAATATGTTTTTCAGCAAAAAATCTTTGTTCATGCTTAAAAAATGTGCCTTACCTTGATACTGTATTGTACAACATATAGGAGTAAGAAACAAAGTAATAAACCAATTATATGTAAAGAAAACAAAGTCACATTACAAGGTAGTTACAATGATAAATAAAACATTTTTCAGTCTTAACAGAATTTGAAGGCAATTCACAATCATTTCCAGGAATTTTGTGAGATTTAAGGCCATTTATTCTAAATAAAATGTATCTTTGACACATATACTCACAATACTGTGAATTTCTTGTAAAAACTGTACATGCAAAACATTTTATAATTAGATATGAACAGGCATATAGTAAAATTTTGGGTACTTAAATACACAAAACTATTGTGCACAAAGCAATATGGCTGTGCAATTTTTAAACCAGTTAATTCATGAAATATTAGCATCTGTGCACTTCAAATAGCAATGTGATTAGGTGACAACAATGAATCCAAATATTAAGAGCCAGCATCCCTTTGAATGGGCAATCTAGACAATAGGTGACAACTTTACATTTTAAATGGGTGTTAAAACGGTTCATTATAAAATGTCCGTTATAATCACTTGAAAATAGCTTTAAGATGCAAAAGTGCTAATGCTATTAAGCAAAGTATGAGATGATTCTACTAAGTCAGCTATGGGACTTGAGGTAATTATTCTTTCATTACGTTAATATGCAATTGTTCTATTCAGCCAGCAAAACCTATTTTAAAAAATGTAAACTTACATAAATTTAGAAATTGGAGTATCTCTGAAAAATACATAACCCCCTTCCTGAGGCTTAGCTTTATTAGTAAGTCAAATACAGTTACAGTCTTCACATCTCCAGATCTTATTCTCAAATACTGTTTTAAATTTTGACAGATGAATTGACTACTAAGCACTTACATGAAGCAATTCAGTTATTGAGAAATATGAATGTATTTGTCCTCTTTTTCCTTAGTTTTGCGCTTGTATTTGTCTGGACAATCATTCAAAGAGATATTGCTTCTCCTGTGGCTATAGCTATTGCAAGTTAGAAGATACATGATTCAATATTCCAAACTCTTATTCTTAAGAATATTTATAAAAGTATTGAAATTTAAAAAGTAGTAACATGTAAACATTGATACAGAGGAATTGCATTCCTAAATATGTATATACACACAGTAGTCAGGGAGAACAATATCTTCCGAGTTGAAACTGTGACTCGTGCTTTCTCCCAACAAATAAATGAAAAAGTAGCTTTTTCATTCAGAAAAAAATGAGACTTGAAGAGAACAGCGTTTAAAAGCTTTTCAGTTGCTCATGCAACCATATTGAGAATTTTGGTATATGAAGAGAATTTGTTTCGATCCAAAAACCTATCGCAAGCTACTACTTCATCCAGACAGACAACAGTCTCAATTCACTGGTTCTTTAAAGTGCACCAGCACTGAAGCACTGAGTCAGTAGCTCTACATGGTTTGTGGTAAGTGTTAACCATTTCGGAGTAGTCATATCTGAGTCTGTAACACATGAAGAGGGGGTGTGTATGGAGGTGGTGCAGGTGATGGCTTGATTCCTCTGACCCTCATGTAAGAGAGAAACTGGTCTGGGATCTCAGCTAAGACATCTTTAGCAAGTCTGGCCATGCTCAATATATAGTTTCCACTTCTGTCAATGTAATCCCGGAATGGCACAAACTAAAATAAAAAAAAAAAAAGATACATTATACATCATATATTCCATTGTGTATATGCAAACATATCATACAATATAAAAATTAGGTCTGTCAATCGCAGTTAAAGGAGGTGATTAATGCAAAACAAACTATTTTAATCACACTGTAAATAAAAATAGAATACCAACTTAAATTTATTACAGATATTTTTGGATGTTTTTCTACATTTTCAAATATTGATTTCAATTACAACACAGAATACAAAGTGTACAGTGTTCACTTTATTTTATTATTTTTAATTACAAATATTCTCACTGTAAAAACAAAAACAAAGAAATAGTATTTTTCACTTCACCTGAGAGAAGTATTGCAGTGCAATCCCTTTATTGTGAAAATGCAACTTACAAATGTTGATTTTTTCTTTTTTTTAACATAACTACATTCAAAAACAAAACAATGCAAAACTTTAGAGCAAAGGTTCCCAACCTATTTATCATTCTGGGCTGCCCTCCACCCAGAGACCCCTTCACAAAGTGGGGCCAGGAGTGGAGTCCTGGGTCTGGGAGGCTGTGCAGGGCTGGGCAGCTGGGGCCCTGGATCCTGCCAGGCTGGGCAGCCGGGACCCTGGGCCCTGCCCAGAACCTGCCGCGTGGGCCATGGGGCCTTTAGCACACAGTGCAAATATTTGTAACAAAAATAATATAAAATGAACACTGTACCCTTTATATTCTGTGTTGTCATTGCAATCAATACATTTAAAAATGTAGAAAAACATCCAAATATTTATAATAAATTTAAATTGGTATTCTATCACTGTTAATAATGCAATTAAAACTGTGATAAATCATGACTTCTTTAAAATCTCACAATTGATTGTGATTATTTTTATTATTTTTTTGACAGCCCTAATAGAAATAAGAGATTTGGAGATAGGAAAGTTTTGTTTTAGATAATTAATAAACTTAAAGCAGGTATCTGCAGGAATGTTAATTTTGCTTCAGACTGCATATGTTTTAAAAAGTAAACCATAATCAGATAATAGTAATTATTGCAAACCTTCCACAACACTTCAAATTTGTCAAGCCACTGTTGCCTCAAGCAGATGAATATATCCTCTTCCATAAAAAGGTGTATGGGAAAGAGCATTTTAGCTGATCCTAATCTCTACTGTAATGAGCCATTAATCCCTTCTACTATGTTTTTGGTATAAATATGAACTGTTCCCTTCCTTACTATTCTAGAAAACAATGATATAGTATTGACAACACATGTAGTCTCATCAGGTATTTACTATCTCTAATTTGTTTCTGCTGCTCCTAAGATCATCTGCTTGACTGGTCATTCTCACATCACCCCACTCTTTCTCCTGTGTGCTGCCCCTTATGCATAGGAAAAACTCCCTATCAAAATCAGTAAAGCTATCACCTTATCTTCCTACAAATGCCTCCTTAAAACTCATTTCTGCCAAGATACTGATAGAACAATTGAAACAGATAATGGCTGCTCAGGTGGTGAGTAATGCTGCATACAACTAATCTATACAAAACTTGCTCATGTTACTGCTACCGTTTTCATCCTTTTTCCATTCCCAAAATGTGTCACACTCACTTACTGCATCTTGTCTAAGATTCTTTTGGCCATGGATTATCTTTTAGTATATGTGCAAGTTGTGCCTGGTGCAATGGGGCCCTGAGCTGTCCATAATCAGTAGGTGCTACTGTTATAAAAATTAAGTATTAACAACTTATTTCTAGCTCTAGATTGATTAATGATAATACATATTTAATTATCATGCCAAAATTTAATAATAGTTTTTTACTGGATTATTTCCATTTATTACTTAATTTACAAAATGAGGATAGAGCCCTTTCTGTGACAGAAACATCCCCCCTCCCCCCTTCATCAGCAGCCCACTGCCCTAGTACTGGGATAACAGCAACTGCAATTGGTATTTACTCTCTGTTTTCATCTCTGTTGTAACCTACAAATGTCACATATTTATGGGTACTACTTGAGAGGCCTTTTTCAAGCCTTTCCATTTCTAAACACGTATTTTTAAGTGGTTACAGGGTAGCATACTTTGCCTGTTGCTTTGTCCTGTGGCATTTAATTTCAGAAAGGGGAACTATGCAAAAATGAGAAGGTTAGTTAAACAGGAATTAAAGGGCACAGTGACTAGCGTGAAATCCCTGCAAGCTGCATGGACACTTTTCAAAGACACCATAATAGAGGCCCAACTTAAATGTATACCCCAAATTAAAAAACACAGTAAAAGAACTAAAAAAGAGCCACTGTGGCTTAACAACCATGTAAAAGAAGCAGTGAGAGATAAAAAGACATCTTTTAAAAAGTGGAAGTCAAATCCTAGTGAGGTAAATAGAAAGGAGCATAAACACTGCCAAATTCAATGTAATAAGAAAAGCCAAAAAGGAGCTTGAAGAACAGCTAGCCAAAAACTCGAAAGGTAATACCAAAATGTTTTTTAAGTACATCAGAAGCAGGAAGCCTGTTAAACCAGCAGTGGAGCCCCTGGACGACTGAGATACAAAAGGAGCACTTAAAGACTATAAAGTCATCGCGGAGAAACTAAATGAATTCTTTGCTTCAGTCTTCATGGCTGAGGATGTTAGGAAGATTCCCAAACCTGAGCCGTGTTTTATAGGTGACAAATCTGAGGAATTGTCACAGATTGAAGTGTCATGAGAGGAGGTTTTGGAATTAATTGAGAAACTTATCAGTAACAAGTCACTGGGACCAGATGGCATTCACCCATGAGTTCTGAAAGGATTCAAATGTGACATTGCGGAACTATTAACTATGGTTTGTAACCTGTTCTTTAAATCAGCTTCTGTACCCAATGACTGAAAGATAGCTAATGTAATGCCAATATTTTAAAAGGGCTCCAGAGGTGATCCCGGCAATTACAGACCGGTAAATCTAACATCAGTACCGGGCAAATTAGTTGAAACAATAGTAAAAAATAAAATTGTCAGACACATAGAAGAACATAAATTGTTGTGCAAAAGTCAACATGGTTTCTGTAAAGGGAGATCATGTCTTACTAATCTATTAGAGTTCTTTGAGGGGGTCAACAAACACATGGACAAGGGGGATCCAGTGGACATAGTGTACTTAGACTTCCAGAAAGCCTTTGACAAGGTCCCTCACCAAAGGCTCTTACATAAATTAAGTTGTCATGGGATAAGAGGGAAGATCCTTTCATGGACTGAGAACTGGTTAAAAGACAGGGAACAAAGGGTAGGAATAAATGGTAAATATTCAGAATGGAGAGGGGTAACTAGTGGTGTTCCCCGAGGGTCAGTCCTAGGACCAATCCTATGCAATTTATTCATAAAGGATCTGGAGAAAGGGGTAAACAGTGAGGTGGCAAAGTTTGCAGATGATACTAAATTGCTCAAGATAGTTAAGACCAAAGCAGACTGTGAAGAACTTCAAAAAATCTCACAAAACTAAGTGATTGGGCAACAAAATGGCAAATGAAATTTAATGTGGATAAATGTAAAGTAACGCACATTGGAAAAAATAACCCCAACTATACATACAGTATGATGGGGGCTAATTTAGCTACAACTAATCAGGAGAAAGATCTTGGTGTCATCGTGGATAGTTCTCTGAAGACGTCCAAACAGCGTGCAGCGGCAGTCAAAAAAGCAAACGGGATGTTAGGAATCATTAAAAAAGGGATAGAGAATAAGATGGAGAATATCTTATTGCCCTTATATAAATCCATGTACACCCACATCTTGAATACTGTGTACAGATGTAGTCCCCTCATCTAAAAAAAGATATACAGGCTTTAGAAAAGGTTCAGAGAATGGTAACTGAAATTATTAGGGGTTTGGAACAGGTCCCATATGAGGAGAGATTAAAGAGACGAGGACTTTTCTGCTTGGAAAAGAGGAGACTAAAGGGGGATATGATAGAGGTATATAAAATCATGAGTGGTGTGGAGAAAGTGAATAAGGAAAAGTTATTTACTTGTTCCCATAATATAAGAACTAGGGGCCACCAAATGAAATTAATGGGCAGCAGGTTTAAAACAAATAAAAGTTCTTCTTCACTCAGCGCACAGTCAACCTGTGGAATTCCTTGCCTGAAGGCTAGGACTATAACAGGGTTTAAAAGAGAACTGGATAAATTCATGGAGGTTAAGTCCATTAATGGCTATTAGCCAGGATGGGTAAGGAATGGTGTCCCTAGCCTCTGTTTGTCAGAGGGTGGAGATGGATGGCAAGAGAGAGACAGATCACTTGATCATTACCTGTTAGGTTTACTCCCTCTGGGGCACCTGGCATTGGCCACTGTCGGTAGACAGAATACTGGGCTGGATGGTCCTTTGGTCTGACCCAGTATGGCCATTCTTATGTCCTTTTCAAAGGGATCCATTCCCCTCACTAGAGTTCTGCAGGGAATGAGGCTGGGGAGACACTCAAGAGAGATACTTGCAGCTTCCTGGTCCTATACCTCCCAGCTCTAGGGTTCATTAGAGCAACTGAGGAGCTTTTCTGATTTATATTAGTGGAGAACTAGTGTAGTGTAGCATTGCTACATCCTACCCCAGTCATACCCCATCACTCTCTCAACAATACCTCTACATGAGGAGACACTTCTGTCAGAGTTATTGCCAGTAGAGAATTCTTTTACACAACAGGGATTCTCTACTGGCCCTTTGCAGCCAGAATCCACTCACTTTGCTGCCTGAGCAGCACTGAATGAATGGAATGGAATGGAATAGAATAGACAATTTGGGCTATTAGTTTCATCATACCATATAGGACTTATATTAGGGCATATTTAACTTCCAATTTCCTATATGGGGATGAGCAGAGGCAACAATTCTTTTTCATCCCAGAAAAGCTATTTCTTATAAATAATTTTGTGTATTTTTTCCCCTTATATATATCCTCTTGATGCAAGAGGATAAGACTTTCCAGGATGCTAGTAGATCCAAGGAGAATATATAAACAGAAAGTGCTTTAAAGGTGACTTTCAAAGGTAATT